TTTAAAAAATATACCTTCTTCAAGGATGGGTCGTGGGATGACAAATGGAATCTCCTGCAGAGGTTCCATATACTTGTGACCAGCACTAACAACCTTTATTTGAGGTAAACAGAAGACAAGCATTCCTGGCATGCTGGTTTGTCCATGGTACCAACTTCTTACTGTTCCAGGAATGTCACCAGATACAATTGTACTTGGGGAAGGCAGGCTATCATTTGGAATGAATATGCAACAAGACTGTACTTCAAGCTAGAAAAGAAAAGCAGAATTAAACTATTTGGATCAGATTACACATGCCTTCAAAAACCTAACATCATTTCTCTAGAATAAACCAAAAAAGAAAATGACCCGCATTTCTTTCTTTATGAGTTACTTTTATTAAGGAACCAAAAAAAAAAAAAACACTTGAAAAAGTATTGTTTTCTTGCTATAAACTTGATCAAAAGTACCCAGTGACATGAGATGAAAATATATCTGCCCTTCCATAATTCTTTCCAAGAAACATGACTGAGTTAGGAAAAGTGTTGGCAAAAAAGGTGAGAAAATCCTTCTTCTTTTGCAGTTCATTAGATTTTGTTAACACCAGATAAGGCCTTAGAACTGACTAGCGTTTTATTGCTTTCACTTTTTTTAAAAAAAGGATATTTCTATGTGAATTTGCCTTTTTCCATTTTTACTTTACAGACTAAAATATAAGAAAAAAAGGTTTAAAATGCTCAGTTTATAGCACTAGACAACCATTAAAGAACATGTTTATATCACATATTCTTTTTATATACAAGTATATAATGATGCAAGTTTATACACATATATCACATTTATTACATATAAAAGATACATTATAATATGAAAAATCAGAAGACTTAAAAATCAGAGCATTATCCCTTGCTTTTTTCATTCTTCAAATTACCTAAATTGTGATTTCATATAAAATGTTTATTCTCCTCTATCCCCAGTAGTTATTTAAGTTGCTTAGAGAGTTCAGATAAGACTAAGTAAGCCTAACCAAAAACTGAATTCATCAGGAATTCTTAATTCAGAAGCAATATAGGTAAAAGTCTATTAGTCTTAGTTGTCTCTTACAAAGTAATGTTCTGTACCAGCTTATTAAATTGCCCTAACAGCATAACATACTTGAATTATTTATTAAGAATATATAAACTATGACTTGTTGATTTTCTATAAAATATTTGGCATACACAGGTGTTATCTGAAGGTGTGATAAAAATAATTTTTTTACTTCATAAATTCTTGGATATTCTAGGAAATTACATTAGCAAAAAGGCTATAGTTTATAAAAGATAACCAAGGATACACTGATATCGCTACTCTTGGGGCTAATATTTTCCTTAATGAGAGCATAATGATATGTAACAGGTTTGGAATTCCTTGATCCCGTAAGTAATTTGCCAACCTATAAATAAACAAACCTGCTCACCTTTGCTTCTAGGAAATTACATTAGCAAAAAGGCTATAGT